CTATTCTATTTCTATTCTATTTCTATTCTATTTCTATTCTATTTCTATTCTATTTCTATTCTATTTCTATTCTATTTCTATTCTATTTCTATTCCCCTTCTGTTTCTCAGCAATAGTTGGACTTTCAGTCTCAAGTAAGGTAGATGTTCCCGGAGAATTTATAATCCTGGTTCCTCATATCTCTATGAAAACAAAGTATGATAGAAGATAATTTGAACCTTGAGTGAAACAATCTTTCATCTTTGTCTTCTTTTACACTACAGGATGGATATTAAATTAATCCCCTTTTTAGGTTCCCACGATCATCGTTATTGAACTAGGTTTGCATCATAGGCTAAGATCCAAAGAAACTAACTAGGTTTAACATATTAAGTTTTTAACTGCACTAGGTAAATCATATTGTACAGACATATCCCTTGAGGTCTATGTTTAGTTTCCAACAAGTGAATATTAACATTGCGGATTTTAATCCTAGTCCTTACTACATCCACCTCTTTAAAAAAAAAAAAAGTCAAGTTCCAAAGGATTCCCCTTGATTCTGACATTTGGGGGATCTAGTTAACCAGAAGTCATCTAAAAGAAGATCAGAAAGGTTTTCTTACGATTTGCAGCTTGTGAGGTCAGGCAAACGATGGTTAACAGCAGAAGTTGGAGCAGGTGGAGATTGGATGCAAACATCATGGAATTCCTTCGAAAAGATAGTTTTGATCCTTTTCCTGCTTTCTGAAGTTTTCATTCCAATCTGCATAATTTTGATTTACATTAGACCAAAGGCCATGGATTTTGAGCTTGCTTTTTACAGCATCATTTCTGGTTTTTAATTAACTTCTCTAAAGATAGGTCTTCTTGGATTGGTTCTCAGACCAATATTCATGTAAATAAATGATTAGACATGAGATCATAGCATTTCCTATATTGCATATAGGCAGAGATGATATTCAGCCGGTTCTCTCTGGTTCTGGCAAACCGGTTGTGGTGACCGTGGGAGGCTCCACCTGCCCTCCCACCCAGATATCATCATGTGGTGCAATGGTTAGAATGCAGTAGTGCAGGCTACTTCTGCTGCCTGCCGGCTGCCAGCAATTCAGCATTTCGATCAGTGGTGGGTTTCCAAAATGTTTGGAACCTCTTCTGTAGGTATGGCCTGCTTTTCGGGTCCCCTGGTGGAGCCTCTTCTAACCGGTTCGGTAGATTTAACGAACCGGTTCCACCTAATAGGTGCGAACTGGTAGGAACCCACCTCTGATTTCGATCCTTACCGGCTGAAAGTTGACTCAGCCCTCCATGATTGGTAAAATGAGGAGCCAGATTGTTTGGGGGCAATAGGCTGACTCTGTAAACCGCTTACAGAGGGCTGTAAAGCACTGCGAAGTGGTATATAAATCTAAATGCTATTACAGTTTCTTTTTTTCCCAACATTAAATGAAGACCTATTCCAATAAATATTGTAGGTCGGCCTTCCTGAGCATTTTTCTTACCATCCGTTTTTGGGGTCATCCGTTGACTTGCGTGGTTAGAAGAAGAAGGAGGAGGAGGAGGAGGAGGAGGAGGAGG